ATATTGGTGACCTGGTTTGATCTCGGTGTGCGTACTCCTCTTCTGCAGTTGCTCAGTCTGGGAGGATTTGTGGAGGCAGCGTCTCCGCAGAGAGGTCTCGAGAAAGAGAAGCAACCTGTTGAATATCAAGCTTTACAGGCTCGCATCATCCAGCTGGAGGGACAGGTGTGTTGAATCTGTTGTAGCGATCAGGGAGAAACACATGAACTGTGGAAATAGTCTACCCTTCATTACTAGCACAGCTTGAAACTTGTTTGTTTTGTCATCCAGGTTAAGAAACTGAAGTTGGAGTGTGACCAGAGCAAATCGTTGCTGGAGCTCATGGACACTGCACACAAGTAGTTAATTTCCCTCATCCAGATATGTCATGCATATTTCCCTGTCCACGTCACAGCTTCCATGTGCCTGTATGCTGACGACAGAATGTGACTTTTATTTCCTTGCCTGGCCCAGGGCTCATGTGAAGCGGCTTGAAGAAATGGCAGCCCAGAGGGAATCGCAAGCGCGACAGGAGTGCGACGACATGATGGAGCGCCTGGCCGCTGTTACGCGGTCAGGAGAGCAGGAGCACTCGGAGCTGCAGGCTCAGTACCAGCGCAAACTGACCCAGGCCCTGCAAGAGAGAGACCGAGAGGTGGAGAGACTCAGAGACCTCCAGAGGTAAACAAGGCCTTTAAATATCCCATGAGAAACTGCAACTAAGGAGATCTCACCCTGCTTTCTTTTAACAGTCAAATGTATCACTCCCTATCATTACGTTGTAAAATGTTTGTATTTTAAAGGATGTTTCTTCAGCATGCTGATAATCACTTTATCTGACCCCCAACTCTAGTTTTAGCTGTTAAAATAAAAACAATCTAGAATCAATCAACCTTCCTCCTTATGGTCTTGTTTGCATGTGTAGGATAACTCTGTATAAAAACTGAGGCCTTCAGTAACGTATATCATATTTTATAATGGATGACTGAAAGTTAACCCCACGTCTGTCCTGCTTTGTCGTCAAGGAAGTCTATCTTAGAGATGAAGAAAGACCACGAGGACCAGGTCCGGAGGCTGAAGAAACTAAAGGACGAGGAGGTTGATGCAGTGACGAGTGCAACTTCTCAGACCAGGTACCATGTTGTTTAAACCGCATCAGTCCTAACTATGAGCTGTGTCTGACCACGCCCCTCTCCGGAAGAGGATTGCAAGGCAGAACAAACACCTAGCTGTGTGAGTGTCAGCCACCTGGGGGAGGGGTTACTGCCCCTTGTGATGTCATGAAGGGAACATCTCCAAACGGCCTGTTTGAGCACACATTTTTGAAAAGTGGAGCAGGCAAAAGATAGAGAGGATGGACAGAGCTTTCATAACAGTCTGCAGCCTGTCAACTTAAAAAAAAAAGTTCAACAAGGGAATTTGAAATAATGCTGTTAAATTGAAAATGATTAAATGTATATAAAAGTGATTTTCCCTCCCCCCCTTAAAACATCTTTCTAAGTAATACCCTTTTTGTCAATAAGATTGCCACACGAGCCGTGGAGGCCAGGACTTCAGACATTTTTGTCAAATCCATCACTGTGTCTGTGTCTTTCTTCCAGGTCTCTCATGGGGGTGATCGAGCAGATGGAGCAGTTCTCCTCTCGGCTCGGAGATCTTTCTTCTCGAGTGGAGAGCACTCATGAACACACGGCTCAGTGCCTGGAGCAGGGGGTGCGGCACAGAGACGAGCAGTTTCGAAGTACCTCAGACACACACACACACACACACACACACAATTTGTGAAGAAGGTTAAGGTCATTCTCTGAATGTGCATTTCAGCGATGCAGGACCGTCTGACTCAGAAGCAGAAAGCTATGGAGGAGGAGAGAGCGTACCTCAAAGAAATCATTTCCAGGATGGACACGCAGATCAATGAGCAGCAGAGACAGCTGGAGAAGGTCAAGTGAAAGCAGTCAAAGAAAAAAAAACACACTTTTTTTGAGGATAACTGAATTCCAAAACAAGTACATACCAAAGTGTTTATATAAGTGGACTCAGCCTGTTGGTTTCAAAAGCACAGCCAATGCAGATCTTGCTTTGTTTGATATGGCCATTGTATGAAACCAGATGAGAAAACACCACAACAACCCTGTTTACTTTTTTCATAAAGGGTTCAGGGTAAGGGTTTTCTTCTTGAAATCAGCTTGATGATTATTTTATTAATTATGGGTCAATGTAGAGAAAACCCCAGAAACAAGCAGGCTTGACTTTAGGACAGGGATACATGATAGGAGAGTTGCTACCACCATGCCCTGCCACCAGGGTCCAAAAGCAACACTTCATATCCATCTTGTAACCTAAATGTTGTCACATCTGGTTCCAAAATCGAGATCGCAACTGAAAAAACTAAAAACCAAAGGCTTTAAAACCACTGGACGACCCCTTTTTTTGTCTGCCTCAGGAGCGCTGGAAACTGACAGCAGAGCAGGCCAAAGCAGAGTCTACCCAGAGAGGCCTGGAGGACGAGCGGCGTTCCGTCAGCATGCAGATCAACATGGAGAGAGAGGAGCTGGAAAGAGCTAAGGTGAGGCTCATTAACATGCACACCAGAGGTTTTCATTAGAACGATTAATCGGCCAGCCGATAATATCGGTTGGGCTCTAATAAACCTTATACAGTGACTATGGGTCACCTTTATCGTAATGGAGGACAGTGGACATTGAAGGAAACCAGGAGAGAATGGGGAATGACGAGGGAAATAGTGTTGGACGGCTCGGAGTTGAACCTGGGCCGCCCACTTTGAGGACTATTGCCTTTGTACATGTGGCGTAACATAATCGCTAGGCTATCTGGTGCACCGGTTTGTTTTACCCCTCGCTTGCCTGTCTCTGTGTGCGTCAGAGCGCCCTACTGGAGGAGCAGAAGTCAGTGATGCAGCACTGTGCAGAGGAGAGGAGGAAGCTGGCGGCTGAGTGGGCTCATTTCCACACACTGGAGAAGCAGAGACACGAGAGGGCCGAACGGGAGGTCAGCAGCCTCCTGGAGAAGAGAGAGGACTCCATCATCGGTCTGGCACAGGTGAGCCAGAGTGGAGGAAAGAAGAGCATCCCTTTTTTTTTTCAATACTTTAAATGTCATATATTATTATTCTTTTCAACAAGTATAAATAAGTCTCAGAACTCCCCAAACATGTCTGAAGTTTTTTTCTTAAAATCCACTCTCATTCCATATTTGATCATGCCTATAAACCCCTTTATTCCAGCCCTGCTCAGAACAGGCTCTTTCTGTGTCTGTAGCTTTAAATGCAGGTGAGCTGTGTTCGCCCACGCCCCTCTGGAAGGGCTACGTTTATGTTTACCAAGACTTTTAAAAAATATTATTTCCAAAGTGAAAGAGATATCGGGTCCCTGCTCTGTGTGACACAGTAATCTCACTCTCTTTCTGTTGCAGGAACAAGCTGACCTAAAGCTTCATACGGCAGAGCTGAAACATAAACAGATGGCTTTGGCACAAGAGAAAGAGACTCTGGAGAAACTGAGAGAAGAGATCGACATGGAGAAAGAGAGAATTAGCAGCACTGCATTGAGACTCAAGACACGAGCCCAAGAGGTGGAGGCCTTTAGCAAGGTAAATTCACACAACACAGACCACCCCCCCTTATGTAGTGAATATTTAACTTGTTATACTTTTCTTATCACCAAACTTCATCTTTCTATTTAGCTTGCAGCAGACAAGCAGGAGAAGGGAGAACGAGCGCTGCAGGAGGCAAAGCGTATCGAGGCTGAGCACGGGGCAAGGCTGAGAAATCTCCACGCGCAGACAGAGCGGCTGAGGCAGCAAGAGCAACGAATGCTTCAGGTTTGTCACCACAACACATCTCTTAAAAAAATGTAACCAACACGTGAAGGGTTATGTGTGGCCTCATCCAAACACTATGCATGCAGGAGCGAATGAGGTTAAGTCATCTGCAGAAGGATTCGGAGAATTCCATAAACCACTTACCACAAATGATTCAACCAATTTTACCAGGTGAGTTTATTGCTGCTTATTGAAAACATAAAGTCACAAACCCATGAAATGTTCAGTATAAAAAAGGGGTTTTATTCTTTATTGCAGATGCAGGTTCATTCATGCCAAACCCTGAGCTGACATCAACGGTGAATATTCCCCCTCCGACTTCGTTGGCCGACTCTCAGGCCTCAGCTCTTCAGGCTAGTCTGGCTCTATGGAGGTACAGCGCAGAAAAGGTAAAAAAACACTTGAACGTTTAAATAAATATTGAGAATGTATTGAAATTGTGTATTTACACAATGCAACACTGCAAAAAAGAAAAGTACAAAAGGGGTGTGGCATATGATGGATACAGCATGTTTTTGTGCATTAGACATTAAAAAAAGCCAATGATCACTTACAAATTTCCAAATCTTCCTTACATTGTTACTAGCGAACTATGAAGTGCTCATGTCTCTGATGTCATTACAAGCACTGGTCTTTTTTTTTTTTCTTTCTCTCTGATCTTCTAATTTTAGTCAATTTATTTGTTTGGTGTACTACATTCATCTCTGGTAAGTCATCCAAATTAAAAGTACATTTAATCTTAGTTTCAGGTGCCGTCATATCAGGGCATCTTGGCGGGATGATCAACAGTCCACTGTGTAGCACAGTAGCTCTAATTAACTCCTGTAAAAGGTCTTTTTCAAACTTCCTTCATGTATACAAACATCAGCAAGGGAAGATTTTCATCAAACCCAAAAATTATTCAGACACATTTAATTTTGACTTTAGGCTTTTAATCACAACTTGCACACATTGACAACAGTTGCTACAATAACAGCTTCTATTTTCAACTTTTGTTTCCTGAACACAGGACCGGGAATTCCTGGCTGAGGAGCAGATCTTCTTGGACAATTTGAGAAAGAAGTCTAACAGGTCACTTTAACACAGATTGACATTTTTTTTTAATCCTAACAGTATTAATCCCTGAGGGGGAATTTAACTCTTTTTTTAAAAAAAAGGGATAATAAACCCATTTGCATTAAGCTTTGTATTGTTTCATCATCTGTCATCCACATGAGCCAAAAAGATACTTTCTGCCTCCTCTCGGTCAAGAAGGCACCACCTTCAAAATGTTTTCACATTACTACAAATATGAGCTGATGTCAATACAGATTGATGTTTCAATAGGTGAAGTATCCCATTAATACTAAACATCTTTTCATACAAATTCATCTTTTGTCATTCTTCAAAGTTGGACCTCTGCTTCAATCCACAGCTTTGGTTTCATCTGCAACAACAACAAAAATAAAATGATATTAAGATTTTTAATTTAACACTTTATTTCAGTCAAGATTTACTGCTCTCTTCTGTCGTGTCAAGCCTCAGGTTACCATTGACTCAACACTAAGTTTCAGACAGGGATAACTTGTTTCATCATTGGCTTGACATGATGAGCGAGTCTCAAACTCATGTACCTTTCCAACTTTCAGAACCAACATCTTCCGCCTCAGTCTTCCACAGACGGTCAGACCTGCTGAGAGAAATTTACATCAGAATTATCACATATTCAATCTCCGCAAGGTAAAAATTAAAACGTTTAAAACATTTCTCAGAACAGCTATTTCCATCGTCAGTTATCGCATCAGACGGCACTTCCTATGCAGCAGTTTTCATCACTGATTCAGTTGAAATCTTAACATGCAGCAGAGCAGCACACACACACACCTGTTTCCACTGTAATCCCATCCACCGTTTTAGCAGTTCACTTTAAGTGGGACTGAAGAACCACGGCCCTGTAAGAACACAATTATTAGTGGTAATTCTCAAACAGCATGTGACAACGCAAAGGAGTCTGCAGGAAGTCAGATACCATTGATTTCCACACTGATTTATTCAGACAGGGATAACAAGATCATCATGTATGCTGCATCTTAAGTAATACAACTTATTTACAGTCACATACCTTTCATTGGAGTTAAATTCCAGACATTTTGGAGAAGAGAAGAACCTCATTTCACCTTCACCAACAGCTGCCTGTCAAGTAAAAAAAAAAAAGAAACAATGAGAAACCACATCCTGGAGCTTAATCCAATGATACCATGAATAAATTAGTCAGTAAGGGGAGACCACGTGTTTCTCTTTGAATATGAAACAAAAATAACATGCATGTGGTCGTATACGGCCATGTGCTTAAAATACTATTATCTGGTTGCTCTAAATCAACTTCTTTAAAACAGGATGTGCAACTTTTTTTCCCCTACATACTCTGCCAACACGTGTTAGTCAAAATTCAGGGTTGCTAACTCGACAGCAAACACTTCCATACACGTTATTATCCTTAACTATGCATAATAATAATAATAATAATAATAAATAATTACCTCTTCACGGCGGCTCCAATGTAGAAAGGTTCATATTCAGACAGAAATATATCACGACGTTTGAAAACAGCATGTTAAGAGTTGAGGCCTCGCAGCTGGTGACCGTCCACGATGCTGCCAGAGCTGAAAGAGACTGAGTGCTGTTTGTTCTTCTTGTTTTATGTGTTGCTGGTTAGAAAACAAGCATGGCGGTGCATTACTGCCACCAGCTGGACTGGAGTGGAGAAAAGTGGAGGAGACGGGAAAATAAATTAAAATTCAAACATTTTTCCTTTAAAAAAAAAATCTCACACTATGTAATTAATGTTTTCTATGGAAGCCAATTTCCGCCATTAAAAAAATAAATAAAATTAAAATAATAAATTCTCATAATTTATCTCATTATTTTGACTTATCTCATTATTATGACTTTCTATCTCATAATTATGACTTTATTATTTTCGTTTTTATTTTTTTAACTGGCGGAAATGGGCTTCCATAGTTTTCTAAATTAAGACTTGTATGAATAAATCTAATGCAAGCCTCAAAATCTCGCGACACTATACTGAACTCAACCATAGATTTACAGTCTATGAAAATAATGCATCAGGTAAAACTTCGACTTGTTTTCCTGTTCTATCAATGCCCTCCTTAATTTTTTGAGCTATAATGAAAATGAATTACAAATAAAAAAAATCTGAAAGTAAAATTGCCATAAATACACGTTATTTATGCCACATTTAAACGAAAATAAATTCAATTTAACTGATTATGTGGAAAGAAATTTAAGTTACAGTAAAATGTGGTTCACAAATATGCCTTAATCATTAATCTTTCAGATGGCATCGAGGTCAGTGTTGTTAGAAAACGATTGAAATGGCAGAATATCAAATATATCATCAAATAGCCTGTAGGCTATTTCTATGCTTCTCCATAAAATCCAATGCCATGAGGTGTCAGATGTTTCTAAAAAAAAAAAAAAGATTTGAATTCCAGTCAAATCTACTTTTGCTGGAAGGATGAGCAAAGTTAACAAGCCTCTAAATGTGTTCACTAGATGTCTTCTGGGGGACATCAAGAGGGTTTTTACTGTCAGTGAATCGTCAGAGATATTTCACATTAGAATTATTTAACAGTAAAAACATTCCAGTCCAATTTAATATGAACAACACCGTGTAGAATATTAAAATGTAAAAACATGTCTCAACTTTTTAGAAACACATGGTTTAAGAAATGAAAATGACAGACGCAGCAGATGTTACCAATGGTGAAGAGGCCTTCATATTGCTTGCATGGCCTTACTTAGCAGTAGATAACAGCACATATAGTCTACATTTGATAGGCTGCAGATTTAAAGTTAATGGGCCAAGTAATTAAAAACAATTAAAGTAAGAATTAGAATATTTGGCGACAGCATGTGGGTGCAGAACTGTAAAAGCAGCTCTTACAATTAGGATATATCTCGAACAAATATAGCCTGACATGCCCTGAATATGCCAGACTACTGGACAAAAGAAACACAAACATGTCGCCCAACTGGTCTACTGCCCGGAGGAAATCCTTCTCCCCGCAGACATGACACAGCCTGTTACAATGAAGAGCACAGTGTCTTGCCAGGACAGCCAGCTTCTCTCCTCCTGCTCCTCGCTGCCATTCCTCTTTTCAGTCACTAGGGAGAGTCTCTGAACTAGAAAAAAAAAAAAAAAAGCTGCTGCCATCCCACTCAAAGGGTCCCACAGAGAAGCAGACCAGACAGGCAGTGAGGACCAGAGAGTCTGCACCGCTCCGCCATCCGCACACCGGCCTGCGGGGACGCGTCGCATTCTCCGTCCGTGATGGAGAAAGACGCCTCTGAACCGGACCCGTCCCGCCAGCGGAACGGGGTCGTGGGCGTGTTGTACGGAGAGTTCACAGACACGCTCAACGACCGGGTCCGGTACTCGGTGAGCTTGACGGAGAGCGCCTTGACGGTCCAGAGGGTCACCTCGTCCCCCGGCCGGACTAAGGTGGTTTTTAACTTGACGGACTGTGTCGGCTGCCGGGCGTACAGAGGGCCGGACGGCGCGGACGTCGGCGCCTACTTCACGGCGTGTTTCTACCCGTTCAAGAGACGCTGGATGAGCGCCGGAGTGGCCCGGCAGAGGGTGGAGCAGGGCTTTCGGGTGGCGCTGGTCCAGGACCCGCTCGCGAACCTCCAGGAGGCTGAGAGGTGGGCGCGTGCTATCAGAGACGCCTCCGTGCTGCAGGCGCCGCGGAGAGAAGGTGAGCATCATGTACCACTTATTATGATCACCTCAATTACTTAAATAGCACCTTTCATTTAATGTCTGCACTGCCTGTTATTTAATGTCTGTTTTTTTTTTTTTTTTTTTTAATAATTTTGCACTAGCTGCTTTTTAAACATTGCTGTACATACATAAACAACACAACTTCAGAAGGTCAACACTTTTTTTTTAAATTCTTTATATTCAGGTCTAATTACATATTTTTTCCTCAACTGTTTATAGGTTCTTGTTTTAAATTGCACATATATTTGTATGTACATTTCTTGTATAAGTCTATTTTAATTGCACAGTTTAAGTTTGATTCATCTAGGGAGTATTCTTTAAATCTGTTTTCGGGTTAATATATATGTATGGGAGGGGGAGAGGGGGGGGGGCGTCGGTTTTGTGGTTTAACTTGTAACAAATGTTTCATGTCACGTACATCTTTGTAACCTGCTACAGGATGCTTTGAATTTCCCTCGGGTCAATATAGCTATCTATCTATCTATCTATCTAAGTCACTGTGTATTCTGGTTGTCAAAACAGCTGATTTCACTGAATGACAAAAGTATTGTAAAAGTGAGAACATTGGAAGTATAATAACTTAGGTATGTATACTCTGACCTCACCAACGTAACGACACATCCAATAAGCAAAAAAACAGGTTTTACAGAGAGGGTGTACGCATTCCTCCTGCTATCTCTAACCTGCTCTACCTGCACTGCAAGGTAATCCACCTGCCAGCAGTAATTACAGCCTCCTTATTCATTCAACAGCCCACATGAGAGGGATGATTCTGGATCTTGGATCCTAACACACACACACACACACACACACACACACAAACTCACCAAACTGATCACTTAAGCAATTCGATTTTCTACTGATCCTCTGTCAGCGCAGAGTGTGCAGCATGCTGCTCAGGCTTCATTATTCCTGCTCGCTTAAATTCCCTTTGAGAATGTTATTGTTTATGAGTATGGGGGGGGGGGGGGGAATCACACCAAAACAAGGAGTTTTTTCATCCAGCCGCTTTACCTAATTAGGTCTCGCTCTGTTGAAAAAGTAGACTGTCCTCAGGTTCCTTTGTTTTCAAGTCTCATTAGCCTCTCTGTGCTGCACCCTGGTACACAACCAGAGAGTCATTAACATGAATACAATATGAGGAGTGTTTATGCAGCTGATTACTCCTCTGTCAGTCATTTGGGAGGAAGTGGTGATAATGAGACAAGGCTGTTTTTTTTTTTTTTTGGTCTCAACATGAGAATTTGTGTTCAGCTATGTCAAGTTGGGGAGAGATTTTATAATACAAATTTCCTGCCCCAACAGAGATCCGGTACCTAGATTTGTGAAATGTCCAATACCCAGTACCCCTCCAATACTACTGTGATTGAATATTTGAGCAAAGACTTGATTGTCTTCATGTTGTTGGCTTGTACTGTAACATTACACTCTATGCAAGCACTGCACGATTGGTATTTGTTATGGCCTCATTAGTGCTCGACCGATTAATCCCTCAACTGATAATATCGCCCGATATGAGCATATCACGTGACTTTCAGTATCGGCTAATTCTATCTCTGATATGTGCGGATATTATTATTTATCCATCAGTCGAATAGCATTTCATGTGAGTATCATTGTATAACACTAACATTTTTTTTTTTCTGACCGTCGCATGCAGAGTGGTCTATAGAGATTACAACAAGCATTATCACTCTGCAGAATGAAGCGTACATGCGCAGTTACTCTCCTGTTGAGTGACCATGTTTTCTTCATAATGTCTTTCACACAAGTGTATGATAACTGCATTTGAGTGATCGACACAAGAAATGCTAAAAAAAAAAAAAAAGCTGTTTTATTTTTTGTTTGCCTTAGCCCCGCCTCCCCAGGAACTTTTACTTTTGGAATTAGTGCATTACTTCACGCTATCACTGCACTGTTTTTGTTTATTATGATGACATGATCATTTTGCGTGGGTCTTGTTATGTTATTTGATTGGTGCATGGACTGGCATATTCAGAGAAAACTAATACTGCAACTTGGGCTTTATTGGAGGTTTACTGTCGATACTGTTTATGATTCCTGAACGACAAAAAAAATCCCATTCCTTCATGTAGAATTACTCAACATGTATAAGATAAAGCAGGCATGCATGCACTCCTGGGCAACCAGAAGAGCAGGTCTGAGAGGAGGGAAACGGATATTCGACTTGACAGTGATTAATTTGGAATGTTGGTTGTTAAAGATGAAGGTGCGTGTTAGCATAGCACGCTAAGAAACGAGGTTGTCTTCTCATTTGCAGCGTGAGGGTGAACGCTGCAAACAAGAGGTGAATACAGAAAGAGGAGAGGTTTCTGTGGGATGAAGAACATCCATAGACTCAGCAGGAGTTTGGGTTTCAGGCCTGGCAGATGGTAACCTGAGAGCTAACCCCCCTCTCCACACACACACACACACACACACATCACTGTCCTCTTCCTGGAGTCATCAAAGAGCTCCAGCTTGGGAGGTTTTCAGATTATACATGCTAATGAACTAGCTAGCCATCCAACAGATTTCTTTTTTTTTTAGCCTCCACACTCCTTTTGAACACAGCGTCTCAGCCATGATGTGATCATTTCATTAATTTATAAGCTCGTTTTAGCATTCCACATCCAGGCCAGCCAATAATACAGTATTTAACAGAATATATTATGGGATTTAAATGAGTAATGTTGTGGTAATAGATGCAAACTGAATTGCCGCTTCATAGAGGGTGTTTGAAAGTCAGCATGAGTCGCTAATCCCTTATAGAGTATTTACCCCCAAAGTTAATTGCATGGCATCTCATCTGGCATTGCAGATGGAGAGGTTGGATTAAAAGTGCAATTGCATTGGAAGACTGGTATTTTT